GAAGGGCAGCAAAGAAGCCACTTCTCTCCAGGAAAAACTTTAGGGACAGACTGATATTCTGCAAAAGGTACAGGGATTGGACTGCTGCGGACTGGGGTAAAGTCATTTTCTCTGATGAATCCCCTTTCCGATTGTTTGGGGCATCCGGAAAACACCTTGTCCGGAGAAAACAAGGTAAGCGCTACCATCAGTCCTGTGTCATGCCAACAGTAAAGCATCCTGAGACCATTCATGTGTGGGGTTGCTTCTCAGCCAAGGGAGTGGGCTCACTCACAATTTTGCCTAAGAACACAGCCATGAATAAAGAATGGTACCAACACATCCTCCGAGAGCAACTTCTCCCAACCATCCAAGAACAGTTTGGTGACGACCAATGCCTTTTCCAGCATGATGGAGCACCTTGCCATAAGGCAAAAGTGATAACTAAGTGGCTCGGGGAACAAAACATCAACATTTTGGGTCCATGACCAGGAAACTCCCCAGACCTTAATCCCATTGAGAACTTGTGGTCGATCCTCAAGAGGCGGGTGGACAAACAAAAACCCACGAATTCTGACAAACTCCAAGCATTGATCATGCAAGAATAGGTTGCAATCAGTCAGGATGTGGCCCAGAAGTTAATTGACAGCATGCCAGGGCGGATTGCAGAGGTCTTAAAAAAGAAGGGTCAACACTGCAAATATTGACTCTTTGCATAAACTTAATGTAATTGTCAATAAAAGCCTTTGACACTTATGGAAGGCTTGTAATTATACTTCAGTTTACAATAGTAACATCTGATAAAAATATCTCATAATACTGAAGCAGCGAACTTTGAAGACCAATACTTGTGTCATTCTCAAAACTTTTGACCACGACTGTAGTATGTGTGAGTGTGTGGGTAGAGTCCAGTGACTGTGCATAGAGCCAGCGCAAGAGAGTCAGTGCAAAAAAAAGGGGTCAATGTAAATAGTCCAGGTAGCCACTTGATGAACTGTTCAGCAGTCTTATGACTTGTGGGTAGAAGCTGTTCAGGAGCCCTTTGGTCCCAGACTTGGCACTCCGTTACCGCTTGCCGTGCAGTAGCAGAGAGAACAGTCTATGACCCTCAAATTAAACTCTGGACCTCGAAGCCAGTTCCACTGCATTTGTTCATTGTTCCCCTCTAATCAGGGACTGATTTAGACCTGGGACACCAGGTGGGTGCAATTATTTATCAGGTAGAACAGAAAACCAGCAGGCTCCGGACCTCGTAAGGTAAGAGTTGAGTACCCCTGGTCTATGACTTGGGTGGCTGGAGTCTTTTACAATTTTTAGGGCCTTGCTCTGACACCGCCTGTTATAGAGGTCCTGGATGGCAGGGAGCTCGGCCCCAGTGATGTCCTGGGTCGTCAGCACTATCCTCTGTAGCGCCTAGCGGTCGGATGCCAAGCAGTTGCCATACCAAGCGGTGATGCAGCCAGTCAATATGCTCTCAATGGTGCAGCTTTAAAACTTTTTGAGGATCTGAGGGCCCATGCCAAATATTTTCAGCCTCCTGAGGGGGACTGTGTTGGTGTATCTGGACCATGATAGGTCCTTAGGTCCTTAGTGACGTGGACACTGACGAACTTGAAGCTCTCGACCCGCTCCACTTCAGCCCCGCTGATGTGAATGGGGGCGTGCTCAGCCCTCAGTTTCCTGTAGTCCACAATAAGCTCCTTGGTCTTGCTGACGTTGCTGCCAGGTCTCTGACCTCCTCCCTATAGGCTGTCTCATCGTCGTCAGTGATCAGGCCTACCACTGTTGTGTCGTCTTCAAACTTTATGATGGTGTTGGATTCATGTGCGGCCACGCAATCGTAGGTGAACAGGGAGTACAGGAGGGGACTAGGTACGCACCCCTGAGGGGCCCCAGTGTTGAGGGTCAGCGTGGCAGATGTGTTGTTGCCTACCCTCACCACCTGGGGGAGGCCCGTCACAGAGTTCAGGATCCAGTTACAGAGGGAGGTGTTCAGTCCCAGGCTCCTTAGCTTAGTGATGAGCTTGGAGGGCACTATGGTGTTGAACACTGAAATGTAGTCAATGAACTAAAAGTTATTGTCCGATAGAGATTTACATGTTTATCAAAACGTTACTCCAGGGTAAGCATGAACAAAACACAGCCTTGTGTTTCTAAAATTCCCTATAGGAAAAATTAATGGAACCATTTCACTGTTTGACCGCTAGGTTTTATGGGTATTATGACACCTCCACTGTGGGGCTCTAGCGACAGCTACGAAAATTATAGATAAACTCTCTTGGTAAATAGTATGGTCTGCAGCTTATCATGAGGTATTCGAACTCAGGTGAGCAGAACCTCGAGACTTCCTTAATATTAGAGATTGCGCACCAGCTGTAATTAACGAAGAGACTTACACCACCCCCTCTTGAATTTACCTGCAGCTACCGTTCTGTCCTGTCGATGTATAGAAAAACAGAGCTGGATTTACATTTTCCATGATCACATTGATAGGATAGTCTTGAATGGAGCTCGTCCAGTTTATTCTCCAGTTATTGCACGTTCGCCAAGGATTTATACCTGGTCCGGGATGAGCAGTATGTCGAGGTCAGAAGCTCTTTTCAGTCACAGGAAACTATGGCGAAAACATGTGCAACAAAAAAAAATGGATTGCGTAAAAAATACTAAATAGCACAATTGAGACTTCAATAAACCCCCTGTTGATGTGGCTCTCTGATAAACATTTCAAGCCCATACAAAGGCTACACCTAGTGGGCATGTAAAATCCTCAAACGAGAACCTAGAGCAGCAAGGCATAGGAAGTATGTTACTGACCAAACAAACACTATTTCTGCCACTGTATATGCAGTGGACTACATAACAGTACCTGAATTGCACATGGACATGTGTTTAAATTCATTAATTTTCACGTAACATAAGGATGTCATAAGGGTTGTAAGTGTAATAAAGCCTATGTATACAGGCACCAACATGTTACAAATGAATATGAAGGAATTCTGTCAATGGAGCTAATTCGTTTTCTTTTTTCAGTATAGAAAATTCTAAGGCGGGCTGTCTAAGTGGTAATGTTCAGGATAGATAAACCAGAAAGAAGGTATGCAGAAACGATATTGAAATATATATATATATATATATATATACACACACACACTTTTTATAATACCATCTTTGAGGACTAACAATCAAATATCAGCTACAGCTCAGGGAGTCATAAATTCCCAAAACTGAGCATTCAGGGCACATGCCCATTGATTTTGTTATGTCTGAGCAGAGGAACACAGCATTAGCCATGACAACATACATAGAATTGCAGGAAATTAGCTCCAAATCTGCTTTCTATTTTTTTTTTAATTGCAGAAAATGTGATTTACAACAGCAAATTCTTTGCGCCACCAATGAACTGTGGGAAGGTGAAAATAATGAAACTGTCTATCAAATCTATTCATTTTGAAATTGATTACTTCTACTTGCCATTATCATTCACCTGATAAGACAATACATGTTTTTTTTTGTTTCTATCATATGATGGGGGTCCCTGGGATGCCGCTTTGCCTGGGCAAGAAACGTTTGAAAACCCCTGCACTACAGTACCCATAATGTAAGACCTGGGACATGCACGCACAAACTCCGCTCAGCAACTTGATAAGTCTTTTATTTGCAATTTTCTGTTTCCTCATCTTTTCCAGTTTCCGATGCAAAAAGAAGCAGAAATTCCTTAAATAATAAAGCAACAAAAATATTTACAAAATTCCAATAAAACTAAATCAATGGATCACCTAAAGCACCCCTCTCTGCATCTGGACAAACTGCCACTTCTGTTGGAAAAAGATACTGCATTTTATATTACACCAGTAATTTCTTTTTATTATTTCCGAAAAATAAAACTGACAAAAAAAACGTTTTGTAATATATATGTACAGAACGCTCCTGAAATGTGATTCCACTTAGAGTAGAAAAGGCTTTCGGAACATTTCTGTTTTTCATCAAGTTGATTTCTGTAGGTTTCAAGTTTTAATGGTGATTTTGTCATTAAGAGTCCTCTAGTTATGGGGTTTATTTTCTCATTCGACATGGGTCGAAAGAAAACGCACCCAACAGTCCATCATGTAAGTACAGGAGAGGTAAAAGATGCAGAATCTCAGTCAGGATGACTACTGGGAGAGGAAGTGAAAGGTAGGCTTTAAGGAAGCATATAGAAGACCCCCCCCCCCCCCCACAGCAAAGGTCAGAGGCTAACGGTCAAAGGTCACAATCCATCCCCCATTTTGTTTCTCTTCCCTCACAAGTCCCAGTACTGCGGTAAACAGGAAGTGAAAAAAGGAAAAGAACCGTCGCTCAGAAAGCCATTCAGCGTCTCCATACAGTCGGCAACATACGCTTGATGTCAGCTGATCAGCAAACATACCTCGTCTGCATCTTGTTTCCCTCATTGTACATCATCATTAATAGAGAGACACGTCAACCATGCTGCACAACAACAACAAAAAAGAGATAGAAGACATAAGAGCGCTGTGTTCGATCGGACGTCACACGCATGGCATGATACCCCACTCCTGGGGAAAAACATGCTACATGACACCTCTACCATTGTCTCTATGCATGTGCGTGTCATATAGTATGTTGCATAATATAATTTTGTCTACAACCACAAAGAGCAGCTTGTTGGTTTGTTATTGTTTTCTCAAGAACAAGAAGTCAAAGGGTTTTTTTACGCAATGACCGTAGTAGTTATTCCACGCGTTTACACAAGCAAAATCCGGCTGAATCATTTATTTCATTTTTCGGCGGACACTCGCCATCACAAAAGAGGGAAAATAAGAATGAGGGAGGGAGAAAGAGAGAGAGAGTGAGAGAGAGAGAAAGTGATTGCATGTCAGGTCCCTCTCTCAATAGCCTCGTTGAGGATCGGTATCAGTCCGCCACATTAAAAAGGGCCATATAGTCCAATTCTCTCCTCGACGCCCCTTGCAATACCCCTCCCTGGCAATAGAGGGCGGTGATAGTTTTAGAGAGGCCATTTAGTCCTTGTCGGACTCCTCTTCGGCCTCGCGGAGCCAGGTGAAGAAGGCAGTGACCGACTTCAGGGCCACGCCCTTGCCAGTCTGCTCGGCGGGGTCTTTGCTGGACTCCCACTTGTAGAAGGCCTCCTCTTTGATCACGTCCTCGTCGTACAGCGCGTCAAAGAACATCCGCAGCAGATCTGGTGGAGGGAGGATGCCACAGGCAGAGAGGGTGGTTAAGCTACACATTCATAATCATGATTCATGAACTATGAATCTAGCCACAACACCATCTGATACGAGAGAAATGTGGATAAATACATACTCCCTCCGCACCCTTTTTAATTCACACAAACAACCAAAGCTCATTTTACACAATCCTTTTTTTTTTTGCGAGACAGGAGACAAAGCCAGTGGGGCAGAATGTGAACGACAATCACAAAATCTACACAGAATGGGAAGCAACTGTAGTGACGTGGATGTTCACGACAAAAAAAAATAATAATAATCCAAATGGAGGTTCTGTATCTGAGCTGGTGATTAGCTGGGCCACAAGAGACTACCGCCAATGAATAGGCAAAGATGTAGACTCTGCGAGCACTCTAGCACACCAGAACAATGACATTGTAAAGGCGTGACTCTAGCCTCGCTATCCACAATCATACACACACCTTCACAGAACTGAGGCGTCACACACACACACACACACACACACTACAGTACTGCGCTGTACTCACTGGCTGGTTGCTCCATGTGCACCATGAGGGCCTGGAGGGCGTACAGGGCCTGCAGCTCCTTCTGCTCGTCACTCAGGTACCGCTGCAGCAGCTTGGCCCTCTGGGTAATCTGCTCCACGTCCACCTTGTATGGGTTCTCACCTGGACGAAGGGAGGGAAGGAGAGAGAGCATTCGAGTGAGTGAAGACAGAGAGAGAGGGGGAAAGGATGGATGCATATTACAAATGTACAGTCTCCAACCAGTCAACCCTATTCATAGGAATGTTAACCCAAAACCATTAACCTAGAGTATCACCAAACTACCAACACTCCTTCTACACCCAACTTGATGCCCCCATTGCCAATCAGACAGAGATATCAGAATGTACCAGCGATTGAGGATAGAACCAGAAGTCAGGAACATTCTGGCACCGAAAACATAGCACTGGACTTGGCTTCTCTCCATAACTCACATGCGATGTACAGGGCAACAGCATGCATGCCAACAAAGGAGGTTGGAAGCATCTTTAAAGGTATGCAAACAGAAGGGCCAGATATATGGGCTTTGCGGTACTCACATATAACGGCTGACTGGCAAATGGAGGTCATCAGAGCGCGCACAAACTGGTTGGCAGCCGCCTGCTGTTCGTCCAGGTTGGCCTGTAAATGAGAGGGCAAATAGTGACCAAAGCTTTCCAAAGAGTTAGATGAGGATAGCATGGAATGTTTAAACATTCAATTGACCTTGCTGATACAAAGTCGCATACGCACGCACATCACACACACGGGAACATACCTCCACCCAGTCTCTGACACGCTGGTTGTTAGCCTTGTCCTGGATCAGTCTGTCCAGCTGTTTGCTGAGCTCCTCTCCACCCATGGGCTTCTTCTGATTGGTCTCCTCTGACTCCTCCCCCAGGGTAAACTCAATTTTCTGGAAAGCGAGAACACACCATAGAATTACGTTAGGAAAACTATGGAACACACGCTCATATGGGTTGCCTGACAACGTCACGAAATTATGCGCGTGCGACACAGAGGCAGAATGTTATGATTCTGAATGGTCAGATAGCCATCAACAAGGAAAAGAAGCTGCCATGTGGTGAATCATAGGTGGCTTGTTTCAGTTAGTTATATCTTGTTCTTGATATCATGTATTGTTTTCAGGGGTTTTGACTTATGTCTACGCTAATATGGCAAACATTTGCTAGCTAACCAACAACTGCAACAATGCAATTTGAGTCAACAAGTGCTTATTGTGCAATCTTTTTTCTGTTTTCAATAAACATTTGGAGACAACATATAGTTTACATGTTGTCAATAATCCTTTGATTCTAAGCCAACAAGTTCTGGTTTTCCCCAAAGTTGTGCACGGATGGGTTTTGTTGCTAAACACAGCAATAGAACGAGACAGTAAACCCATATTTTCTTAACCCAAAAAATAAAATCACCCTCTCATTTATGAAGGGCAGTCGCATGTTCAGTCCACCAATCTTAAATGGCATTCAGATTGAGTGGTCCTAACTAAAAAGTGTTTAACCCCTTCTCCCCCACTGACCTGTTCAGTCACAAACTTATTGACGTCCTCATCCTCTGGCAGGAAGTCTCTCCAGTTGAGCTCTGCTTCAGTCCACAGACCGCCCACCTTCTTATGGGTCTGAAAATATAAAACAAATAACACACAATTCATTTACACACACACACTCACAAGTCCAACATAAATATTGTATGGACATACACAAACCCCACAGAGCTGCGTGCACAGAGACACTTACCATTCCTTTGCAGAGTAAGTTGAGGATCTGCACCAGCAGCACACCAGCCTTACCCAGGGGAATCAGGGGCTTGGCGATCTCCCTGTAAACACACATACAGTAGGAAAGGTTATTGAGCGTTCCTTTAAATTTCTCATTCATTACATCAGTCTCAAATTGTATATTTTTGCCGATCACTTCTTCACTATTCATCCATAAGTGAAGCATCAGTCAAAGCCTTTCTGGCATCAACGCTGTTATAGGCCAGTGACCTCCAGAGTTGGGGCCGACGCGGTCTATAAAGCCTGGGCCTCACCTAAAGAGCTGTCCCATGGGGATGCCTCCCTCGTGGAGCATGGGTGTGATGAGCTCAGCCAGGTATTGCCAGATGTGGGGGATGTCTATGGCCATGTCCTCAGCCAACTCCAGGATCTCCTGGAGCCTATGATTAAACATAACCAAGTAAACACACTAAAACAAGGAAAACTAATAATTTGGAGAACTATCTTGTGTGGACTATTTTCCAACAGTCTGACATATGGGCGAACACATGAACACACATTTTAACCCTTTGAGAGATGGTTCTCTTTAACAAGCACACACTACTTTTGGGCTCCGTAGACAGGATTGCATGCTTCCTCCTCAAAACACACAACCTGGTCTTTAGTGCAGTACTACACTCGCTCTCTGCTTCTTACCCCTTGTAGTACTCTGTTGTGGGCAGGGTGCCAGCCTTGAGGAGCTGGTGCAGCAGCAGGCCCATCCGTTCCCTGGCGATGGCGCTGCGCTCCAGAGTATTCTCCAGGCCGTTCCGCACAAACACAAAGAGCAGCGGGGCACTGTTCAGCTCCACTACACACTGCAGCGCCTCCTACAGGGCCGGACGGGGAAGGAAAGGGGTTTAGTATTACAGCAGTTAGCTTTGCTATGGCCTCCGATTGTGTGTGTGTGTGTGTGTACACCTTTGTCATTGACACGAAACTGATGGTGTGTGTGTTTGTGTGCGTCTTCATGTTGTTGATGTGGCCTGTGTGTACCTTCATGTCGTTGAGGTGGAGGTACTCCTCGATGATGGCGTTGGACTTCTTGTCCAGCTCCTCCTCTGTCATGGCCGGTTTGGCCGGAGCAGCAGGAGGAAGGGTGGGGTCTGTCTCACGCTTCACTGTACAGACACAACACAACGTTATACAGTTTCACACACTATTAAACATAAAAACGCATTATACACTAAGGTGGGTGTACGTGTATCCAGTGTGTGTCTATAGTCTCTTACCAACATCCTCCTTGCTAGGAGCCCTGTCCCGGCTACCGCTGCCTCCTCGGTCTCGGCTGCCTCTGTCCCGGTCGTCAGACATGCTGGCTACGCGCCGGACGGGGGGTTCCATAGGGGTGCGACTATCGCTCCTACGCTCCTCTGTCTCGCGGCTGAAGCTGCGCTTGGTGACAGGCGGGCGGGTGTCCCGACTGCTGCCGCGCTCGTCGCGACTGCTGTCGCGCCTCTCAAAGCGGTCCCGGTCCCCGCCGCGGTCACGACTGGAGCTGGACCTACGGAGAAGGAGAGAGATGTTGGAGAGAGAGAGGAGAGGGATGAGGGAAAGAAGAGATGGGAGAGAGGGGGGAAAGAAGGGGTAGAAAATAGACACGTATAAGCGAGAGTCAGGGGGCAGAGAGAAAGATCAGGAAGGAAGAGCCGTACTGACCTCTGGGGTACCCTGCGGTCAGCGTCTGAGGAGGATGCTGGTGGAGCAGACTGCTGCAGGGCAGAGAAGCGGTTGCCGGTGGCCGGACGGCCAGTCTCCACTGCTAGAGAACAAAGGAAAGAAGGAATGAGCAAGAGAGAGAGACAATACACGCATATTACACAAATTCCAAGTGTGTATACAGTACCAGTCAAAAGTTTGGACACCTACTCATTCAAGGGTTTTTCTTTATTTTTACTATTTTCTACATTGTAGAATAATAGTGAAGACATCAAAACTATGAAATAACACATACGGTATCATGTAGTAACCAAATATTTTGTATTTGAGATTCTTCAAATAGCCACCCTTTGCCTTGATGACAGCTTTGCACACTCTTGGCATTCTCTCAACCAGCTTCACCTGGAATGCTTTTCCAACAGTCTTAAAGGAGTTCCTACATATGCTGAGCACTTGTTAGCTGCTTTTCCTCCACTCTGCCGTCCGACTCATCCCAAACCATCTCAATTGGGTTGAGGTCTGGGGATTGTGGAGGCCAGGTCATCTGATGCAGCACTCCATCACTCTCCTTCTTGGTAAAATAGCCCTTACATAGCCTGGAAGTGTGTTGGGTCATTGTCCTGTTGAAAAACAAATGATACTCCCACTAAGCCCAAACCAGATGGAATGGCGTGTCACTGCAGAATGCTGTGGTAGCCATACTGGTTAAGCGTGCCTTGAATTCTAAATAAATCACAGACAGTTTCACCAGCAAAGCACCCCCACACCATAACACCTTCTCCTCCATGCTTTACGGTGGGAACTACACATGTAGAGATCATCCATTCACCCACACCGCGTCTCACAAAGACACGGCGGTTGGAACCAAAAATGTCCAATTTGGACTCCAGACCAAAGGACACATTTCCACCGGTCAAATGTCCATTGCTTGTGTTTCTTGGACCAAGCAGGTCTCTTCTTCTTATTGGTGTCCTTTAGTAGTGGTTTCTTTGCAGCAATTGGACCATGAAGGCCTGATTCACACAGTCCCCTCTGAACAGTTGATGTTGAGATGTGTCTGTTACTTGAACTCTGTGAAGTATTTATTTGGGTCCTCATGAGAGCCAGTTTCATCATAGCGCTTGATGGTTTTTGAAACTGCACTTGAAGAAACTTTCAACGTTTTTAATTTTTCGGATTGACTGACCTTCATGTCTTAAAGTAATGATGGACTGTCGTTTCTCTTTGCTTATTTGAGCTGTTTTTGCCATAATATGGACTTGGTAATTTAAATGCATTCCAGGTGACTACCTCATGAAGCTGGTTGAGAGAATGCCAAGAGTATGAAAAGCTGTCATCAAGACAAAGGGTGGCTATTTGAAGAATCTCAAATATAAAATATATTTTGATTTGTTTAACACTTTTTTGTTTACTACATGATTCCATATGTGTTATTTCATAGTTTTGATAGTCTTCACTATTATTCTACAATGTAGAAAATAGTAAAAATAAAGAAAAACCCTGGAATGAGTAGGTGTGTCCAAACTTTTGACTGGTACTGTATGTAAGTGTGCATGCGTGTGTTAAGTGTGTATAGTACAGTGTGACACATTTGTTGGGTTTTTGCCCTTGTGTGAGGGATGTCGGTATGAGTTTGAGGTTTGTATGAAGTAGGCTTCTACCCGACTCCTTGTTCAGGTTGCCGTGTGTTTGAACGTCCGTATGTGCCCCTACCTGGTTCAGCTCCGGCGGCAGGCTTGGCTCCTGTGGTGCCTCCACTACTGCCCTTGCCCCAGCTGCCCCACATGCCCTTACCCCCGAGCTGGGGCGCAAGGAGCTGGTTGTTGAAGTCCAGGGCACCAGGCTAGTGCGGGGGGAGGTCAAAGGTTAAGAGCAGAGGTGATAACAGAATTATATCCATCTCAATGGGGACTCGACTTGGTAAAACAATTGATGAAAAATGGCTACTAATAAAGTGACGCAAGTAAAATCCCTGACAACTCTTCATCTGGTCATGCTATTGCAAAAAGCATCCTTATGAGTCACAAAAATACAATAAATACGCTATTGTTTACATTACCACTCATAATTAAGAACCCCATTCGTGTTGGTTTAGTAGTAAAAACACATTCCTTTATTAGTTGTAAACTTTATTTTATTTTATTAACTCTCCCTTCACCTTGGTGATCTTGCTGAGCCGGCTGGTATCGATGGGTCTGTTCTTGGTGGAGATGGGCACTGTGTTCCAGCCTTCATCCTGGGGCTGGCTGCCCCTGCCCCCCTGGCCCCCGTGCTGGACCCCACGGCCCCCCTGATCCCTTCCTCCTCTGTCTCGGTCTCCCCCCCTCCCGTCTCTTCCTCCTCCACCTCCTCGTCCTCCTCCTCCACCTCCACCGTCATTCCTTGACAGAAGCTGCTGCTGGACCTTGACCAGCTGCATTTGTTCCTCCAGCTCAGCGTCCTTGTGGATCTGGTCTATGGTCTTAGGGCCTTGCTCCCCTCGCCTGGGCACCCAGCCACTCTGGGGGAGGGAGAGAGGGAGTACTCTTTTAAAGTCTTAGCAGAGGCTTTAGAGCCATACGGTGAATTACAGTATGGTTATTACCGTGACGCCATGATCGTAATGATACTATTGCAGAGAACACAAATAGAGATGAAAGAAGAAGCGAAAGAGAGCTAAAGAGGAGAGAGGGGGGGGGGGGGGGGGATGGAGTGAAGGACAGACAGACAGAGAGAAAGAGAGGAAGACACAGAAAGATGGAGGGAGGAAGAGAGACATTTGTAGAAACAGAACGAGAAAGGAGGAGAGATGATTGTATAGAGAGGGATGGAGGTACCCGTCTGAGGTCGATGACGTCCTGCAGCATGAAGCGGATCCTAGACGAGGTCTTCTTCTCCTTGATGATCTTGTCCATCTGGGCAAAGTACTGGTCCATACGGGGCTGTGGGGACAAGCAGAGGGACACTCAGACTGGTGTGTTTCTGCAGAGTAAATATGTCAGGTATCACTAAGTGTGTGTTTTTTTGTCGGTACTGAGTGAGTGCCTGTGTGTGTGTGTGTGTGTGTGTGTGTGTGTCCCTGTGCATTAGTGTGTGCACATGCCTTTGTGTGTGTGTGTGAGTGGCATCTCTCTCTCTGCATACCTTGGCCTTCTCAAAGTCCAGGTCCTTGCCGATGGTGGACAGCAGTCTACAGAGGCACTCTAGCGACTCCTCATCGTGGTTCTTCAGCAGCTTGACGATGCAGTCGTGCATGATAGCCTCCGTCAGCATTTTCAGCTTGAACAGCTCGCCGATGAACTTGATGTTGCCCAGCGACCGCCGCCGTGCCTTGTCCTTGGCCTCCTCCAGCTCCGCCTTCAGACCGGCTTTATCCTCCTGGGAGACGTAAGGTCAAAAAGGTTATTTGAAAGTTAAGAAAGCTTTATTGTCCAAAATGCGCCTGCTCTTTGATGGTTAGGGACAGAACAGAATGTGATTGGTTCACCATTTTCTCTCTTTGGTAGTTCAGACATAGACCTCATCTAAAGCGAAAAATAGCAAATCCTAGTCAAATGAATAGCCAAATAGATGGATTTAGATTTTATGAGGATATCGCAGACCAATCTTGTGACATTGGCAATATGAACAAGGGTTGGATATGAATATAACAGAATGCATCTGTTATGAGGTTGTGTAAACAGGAAGTTAAGTCGTACCTCTTTGGCGGCCTCCATCTCCTTCTGTTTGGCCTCAAAGATCACGTCATCGTCCTGGTCCTTCTCAAACTCCTTCTGACAGCGGTTCAGCAGAAGCTTACGAAAGTTCACAGTCACTCCCGGCTTGTCTGTGGTGGGCACTTTCAACTGGGAGGACACAAGGAAAGGAAACAAGGAACAAGATATGTTTAGTTCAAGGTCTGTTTCGTTTATGTTCAGTAGGGGACTGGCTTAGAAAAAGCATACTCAAACAAATGGATGAAGACAATCAAAACAGAGGGAGAAAAGGAACGAAAGAGGGCTCCTCGAGTTCGTCAATTCCATCACTATACTGCAGTGTATGAATGTCCATTTGTTGCATAATCTGCTGCTGATGGAGCTCATGAGCTGGGCCTCTCAACTGGATCTGTCTGAGCTGACTTCTGTGTGTGTGTAAGTAAATTATGTACGTCTATGGTGTATATACTATGTAGTCAACTGATCTGAGCCATAAGGGAGACTAGGCATCTACCACCCCACAAACACTATAGGACTAGGGCCGGGCGGCAGGGTGGGCAATGTAGCCTGTTTTTCCCCCACCCATTTTAGTTCTGAAATCACCTTGTCATTTTTGCACAGTAAGCGTTTGTGTCAATATTTATCGTTTACAACATTTGCTATGACATAGCCAATGAACAGCACAACTCAGTTGTCATAAAATATGATTTTTTTTCAGAATGCAGAATGTAATATGAGCAAAAATAAATTGTGGCGATTCGTAACGGTTCAATCGATTTTCTGACTGATGCATTTGGATCGGCTTGGGGTGCCCGGACTGATGCACTTGTATCTTCAACATTTGAATCGGGGACCAATGCGTACCGGTGACTGGTTACATCCCTACTGCAGTGGTCCAAACACATGGCTTCAGTAGAGGCAGAGAGAATGAAAGAAAAAAGACTAACACAAAACGGCCAAACAACGTCAGTCACGTCACTCACCCCCATAAGGCAGCGGCACATGTTAGCGTAGGCCACAGAGAAGTTGGGCTCAGAGATGGCCTTCTCAAAGATCAGATCGATCACTCCCTTCAGCCTCTCCTCCGTGTCGATGGTCAGCTCTGTGACCTGCTTCATCAGCTGCTGGAACATCTGAGGGGTCAGCTTGTTGAGGATGGAGCGGACCCTCTTGAACAGCTCCTGGGTCTTGGCCTGCTCGGGGTCGTCGCTCTCCTCCTCTGGGGCGGCTCCGCGGCCCTGTGTCCCCGCCATCTTTACCGTGGGCTTCCAGGCTTTCTCCGCCTTGTTGAGCTCCACGTCGCCACCTAGCGATGAGGAGATGGTGATGATCTTGCGGGGCTCCTTGCGCTGGCCCTGCTGGGAGCGCCGGGGTCCGGGGGGCTGAGGGGAGGAGGGATGGAGAGAGGGGGGGGGGGGGGGGGAGCAAGAGAGGTGTGGGTGTAGAGGAGATAGAGGGAAATTAGGTCTATGAACTCTACAAACACACTGGGCTGTCAATCATTGACGACTTGAGCCCAGCTTTAGACATAAACAATGTAGAGAGCAGCACCAGTTCCACTCATTGGCAGTATTATAACACTAGTCAATGGTCATCTTTAAATGCTCACAATAAATCACTGGTTGATGACCAATTAAATCATTGGTTTTCAAGCAACATGTGACAATAAATTATTGATTTCTATCATTTGGAGAGTGATGTACTATGACATACTTTGAACTATAACTAATGCTTTCCAAGAGACAGAGAAAACAGCCCACAATTTCAACAAATACTGCCAAATACATAGAACACAATAATGGACATTGTCATCCTATTAACGTGACCCAAAACATTGTCCAACTAGTCTTGAATTATAGGATCTCTATGCACTGACCATAGAGTTAGATAGAGGACTCTGGATGGATATAACCCGTTTTAGCAAAGATGTGTAGACTATCAGATACTCAGCAAGGTGGTCTAATTTCACTATTACTGAAACAGGACCCAGGTGGTAAATATAAAGATCCAGTCCACCTAAAGAAAACTGGAGACCCTTACACTTCAGTGTCGTGATGCCAAAATCCTAGCAAAATGCATAGAATTAAAAAGATATTGTGGGATATTATTCATCGTAAATCAGACATGTTGTTTACATGGACAATACATTGGAGAAGTGAAGTACGGGAAACAATAGAACACTATGAAAGACCTTGGAAACCAGGCCTGGTATTCATAGCTGACTTTTAAAAGGCCTTTGATAAAGTAGGACTGGAATTTATATATAAATGCCTGGTTCATTTTCATTTTGGCGAATCTCTTATACAATGGGTTAGTTACAGTTGAAATCGGAAGTTTACATACACTTAGTTTGGAGTCATTCAAACTTGTTTTTCAACCATTCCACAAATTTCTGGTTAACAAAATATAGTTTAGGCAAGTTGGTTAGGACATCTACTTTGTGCATGACACAAGTAATGTTTCCAACAATTGTTTACAGACAGATTATTTCACTTATAATTCCCTGTATCACAATTCCAGTGGGTCAGAAGTTTACATACACTAAGTTGACTGTGCCTTTAAACAGCTTGGAAAATTCCAGAAAATGATGTCATGGCTTTAGAAGCTTCTGATAGGCTAATTGACATCATTTGAGTCAATTGGAGGTGTACCTGTATTTCAAGGCCTACCTTCAAACTCAGTGCCTCTTTGCTTGACATCATGGGAAAATCAAAATAAATCAGCCAAGACCTCAGAAAAAAATGTGTAGACCTCCACAAGTCTGGTTCATCCTTGGGAGCCATTTCCAAACGGCTGAAGGTACCGCGTTCATCTGTACAAACAATAGTACGCAAGTATAAACACCATGGAACCACGCAGCCGTCATACCGCTCAGGAAGGAGACGCGTTCTGTCTCCTAGAGATGAACGTACTTTGGTGCGAAAAGTGCAAATAAATCCCAGAACAACAGCAAAGGACCTTGTGAAGATGCTGGAGGAAACAGGTACAAAAGTATCTATATCCACAGTAAAACGAGTCCTACATCGACATGACCTGAAAGGCCGCTCAGCAAGGAAGAAGCCACTGCTCCAAAACCGCCATTAAAAAAGACAGACTACAGTTTGCAACTGCACATGGGGACAAAGATCGTACTTTTTGGAGAAATGTCCTCTGGTCTGATGAAACAAAAATAGAACTGTTTGGCCATAATGACCATCGTTATGTTTGGAGGAAAAAGGGGGTTGACTGCAAGCCGAAGGACACCATCCCAACCGTGAAGCACGGGGGTGGCAGCATCATGCTGTGTGGGTGCTTTGCTGCAGGAGGGACTGGTGCACTTCACAAAATAGATGGCATTATGAGGAAGGAAAATGATGTGGATATATTGAAGCAACATCTCAAGACATCAGTCAGGAAGTTAAAGCTTGGTCGCAAATGGGTCTCCCAAATGGACAATGACCCCAAGCATAGTTTCAAAGTTGTGGCAAAATGGCTTAAGGACAACAAAGTCAAGGTATTGGAGTGGCCATCACAAAGCCCTGACCTCAATCCTATAGAAAATGTGTGGGCAGAACTGAAAAGGCGTGTGCGAGCAAGGAGGCATACAAACCTGTCTCAGTTACACCAGCTCTGTCAGGAGGAATGGGCCAAAATTCACCCAACTTATTGTGGGAAGCTTGTGGAAGGCTACCCGAAACGTTTGACCCAAGTTAAACAATTTAAAGGCAATGCTACCAAATACTAATTGAGTGTATGTAAACTTCTGACCCACTGGGAATGCGATGAAATAAATAAAAGCTGAAATAAATCACTCTACTATTATTCTGACATTTCACATTCTTAAAATAAAGTGGTGATCCTAACTGACCTAAAACAGGGAATTTTTACTAGGATTAAATGTCAGGAATTGTGAAAAACTGAGTTTAAATGTATTTGGCTAAGGTGTATGTGAACTACTGACTTCAACTGTATTTATAGTAGCCCCAGGTGTAAAATAGTAAATAATGGTTACTTTTCAGAAAGTATTAAATTGTCAAAAGGAGTAAAACAAGGTTATCCACTATCGGCATATCTATTTATTATGGCCATCAAAATGTTAGCTATTAAAAACAAAACTTGTCATTGTACGCTGACAATTCATGTTCTCTTTTAAATCCACAATTTGGATCCCTGCACAGACTCAGAGGATCTAGATACTTTTTCTAACCTCTGGATTAAAACCGAATTATGAGCGCACTATATTATGTATTGGATCGCTAAAGAATACCAATAAAATGGTCCAATGGTGAAGTGGACATATTCAGTATTCATATCCCGAAAGAAAGAAATGATGTCACTACAATAAATGTTTATAGAAAGTTATAGAAAAATATAAAACGCAACATGTAAAGTGTTCGTCCCATGTTTTAAGAGGTGAAATAATGGAAACTTTCCATACGCACAAAAAACAGATCTCTCAAATTCTGGCAACAGCTCTGGTGGACATTCCTGCAGTCAGCATGCCAATTGCACGCTCCCTCAAAATTGGAGACATCTGTGGCATTGTGTTGTGACAAAACTGCACATTTTAGAGTGGTCTTTTATTGTCCCCAGCACAAGGTGCACCTGTGTAATGATCATGCTGTTTAATCAGCTTCTTGATATGTCACACCTGTCAGGTGGATGGATTATCTTGGCAAAGGAGAAATGCTCACTAAAAAGGGATGTAAACACATTTGAGAGAAATAAGCTTTTTGTGCTTACGGAATATTTCTAGTGTCTTATTTCAGCTCATGAAACATGGGAGCAACACTTTACATGTTGCGTTTATATTTTAGTTCAGTATATTTAAAAAAGAAATGACCAAAAGTATGTGGACACCTGCTTGTCGAACATCTCATACCAAAACCATGAGCATTAATTAAACCCAGATTCATCCATCGGAGTGCCAGATGGTGAAGCGTGATTCATCACTCCAGAGAACGCGTTTCCACTGCTCCAGAGTCCAATGGCGGTGAGCTTTACACCACTCCAGTCGAAGCTTGGCATTGCGCATGGTGATCATAGGCTTGTGTGCGGCTGCTCCGCCATGGAAAACCATTTTTATGAAGCTTCCGACAAACACTTCTTGTACTGACATTGCTTCAGAGGCAGTTTGGAACTCGGTAGTGAGTGTTGCAACTGACGACAGGCTATTTTTACACGCTACACGCTTCAGCACTCGCAGTCCTGTTCTGTGAGCTTGTGTGGCCTACCACTTTGCGGCTGAGCAGTTGTTGACCGGGGCAGCTCTAGCAGGGCAGACATTTTATGAACTGACTTGTTGGAAAGGTGGCATCCTATGACGGTGCCACGTTGAAAGTCACTGAGCTCTTCGGTAAGACCATTCTACTGCCAATGTTTGTCTATGGAGATTGCATGGCGGTGTGCTTGATTTTATACACTTGTCAGCAACGGGTGTGGCTGACATAGCCGAATCCACTCATTTGAAGGGGTGTCCACATACTTCTGTATATATAGTGTATATTTAAAATAATATCTATATTTACTAAGAAAATATATATGGGGATTGGAAATGATGCAGACAATTACATTGATGGAAGCCACAATCTATCTGCATATTAAAGATGATCTACCCCCTAATTATTTTGATATATATATATATATATATATAGTGTCCTCTATATAACTCTATACACTGACCCACACGCCCAACACACACTACCATACTCACTCCCATATGGTCCCTTCCAGGGCCCCGTGGTCCCCCTCCCCCACCTCCTCCAGTGGACTGTCTGCCCAGGTTACCCATGAAGGCGGGGGTGAAGTCTGGCCCGGCGTTCATCATGTTGCGACCCGGCTCCGCTGGGCGCATGGGGGTCTTATTGGCCTACACAGAGGAGGAGAGAATTAAGAACCTATGAATTTGACATTGAAATTAACATATGGACAGACTAGAAAAGCACATGAATGAGCTATGGGATAAGTGTTAAAATCCACATTAAATAAAAAATCATCACTAGAGCATAATCGCTTTTACTTCATTTTACTTTGTTGTGAATAATACATTTCTAACGGGATGCCTATAAAAATCACCATGGTTTTTTTCTTCTTCTATGGTATAGTTTACCTTATCCAGCACCACATCGCTGATGAGAGGTAGGCCCTCGGGCTTGTTCATGCTGGCACTAATGAACTGGAAGCCCAGCAGGAACACTCTGTCGTACCTCTTCTTATCCTCCGGGTCAATAGGCTTCCATTGCTCTGTTGGGAGGAAAGGGTGGAGGAGTGGGAGAGTTTGAATGGTTGAATTGGCGATGAAGGTCTCTTTATACTGCTTAACCGTTATTGGAACACATCCAACCAAATCTATCAGGCTACTCTTGAAGAGACATGCATTTCGGGAGGGATAATGCTGGCCATACACATGCATAATGGGGGTCTTCGACAAAGAAACAGACAAACCGTTCACTGCACATTTCAACGATAATGAGACATTTCACATAACAGGAAATAGCCGGCGTCAACAAAGATAATAAATGAATTGGGTCACCTACAGACCTTTATTTCTAGGGGGCCACCTACCTCCTTTGTACTGGTACTTTAGGTCGCCCGGTTTGAGCGGGGGCGTGTCGGCATTCTGCTTGTCCTCCTTCTCCTCCCATGTCTCATCTGGCGCGTCGGCGGTCGCCAAAGGGGGAGGGGCCACAGGGCTGGGCTCCGCCGGAGTGGACGAGGGCTCGGGGGCAGCCGCCGCCTCCTTCTCCTGTATGGACGAGAGAGAGGGGAGAAGGGACAGGACGATTGGAGGTGTAAGAAGAAGTAGAATGAAGTTTAGACCACTACATGCTTTCAGGATTTGCGGTGACAATCTTTTCTTCTTATATTTTTTTTGTAAGAGAACACAAATTTGCATACCAGAAATTTCATGAAAACTTGCTGGGAAGTGAAATGTTTGTCTCGACAGATATACCAGGACTCCAGGCACAAAGAGGCCTGGAGACCAACGATGCCATATGCCGAGTTGCTCTTGCACTGACTAATGAACAGTCCAACCGGAGTAGCGGCTGGCTGCAGATACCATGCAGTGCTGTGAGTAACAATCTTACACATGTTTTCAAGGTTTACTAATGGTGCAACTTGAAGTGGTCATGGACAACTGTTTAGAATAGCTCATGACTTTAGAAGGCCGCTCTGTTCTATGCACGCAGACACACAAGTAGATACACACACCTCTTTGAAGGCATCCAGCATGTCTCCGATGGCTTCCTTCTTGTTCAGCTCCTTCATGTTCCTCTTCTTCTTTGGCACAGACACAGCAGCTAGAAGAGAGGAGCGTTACATCAAAACCTGAAGCCACACCATCCAGAACCCATCTGCCCCAGCCAAACCAAAACCTTGGTGCACATACTATTTCCTGACCAAGTGACCGGACCAGTAAAAACCCTCTCACCTTGCATAGACGTGTCCTCTGAAGGGCTGCTGGCTGAGGGCACTGGAGCTGCATCCTCCTCTTTCTCCTCCTTCTCCCCCTCCTCTTTCTTCTCCTCTGCCACGGTAGCAGCCACAGGGGTAGCAGTTTCCTGAGGTGGGGGAGCGGCAGGCTCGGTGTTGGGCGTTGCAATGCGCTCTGGTGCGGGCACGGGGGCGTCTACCTCGTCGGGGTAGTCCTGGGGGAGGCCGTTGGACAGGGGCGGCTGCTCCTCGCTCTTCTGGGCCATGGCGGGCTCCGCCTCCGGGACAGAGGGAGTGGCGGCGGGAACGGGGGCAGACACGGGCACTGTCACAGCAGCAGCTGCTTCCTGTTTCGGCGATGTCGGCTCAACCACGCTCTCAGTTTTAGTGGGAGCTTCCACAGACACCACGGGCTTCACGGCCGGGGCGGAGTGTTTGATCGTTGCCTTGGCGACGGGGGTCACAGGTCGTGGAGTGGGTTTAGTGTCTTCTTTAGCGACCGCCACCGTAACAGGCGCCACTATCTCTAGCTTGGTGGTAAGCGCAGGCTCCTCCTTTACCTCTACCTTCTCCTCCACCACTACTTCCTCCTTTTTCTTCTCCACCTCCTCTTTCTCCGCTACCAGGGTAGGAGGCTTCTCAACGGCTGCTGGGGCGGCCGGAGGCTCTTCCTCTTTGGGAGGAGCTTCGGGAGTCACTGCCTTCACTGCCGGGGTCACACCAGCATCCACCGTGTCGCTGACCTGAGCGATGGTGGTGGGGGGTGGAGTCTGTACCTCTGCAGGGGGAGGGGAGGTAGGAGCTGCCGGGGGGGAGAGGGAGGGGGCAGGGGCCTGTTCTTCCCCTGGTGGAATGGGCACCTCGGCCCTCACCGCAGCCGTGGGGGCAGCCGATTGGCTGACAACCTGTTCAGTAGGCGGGGCAGCCTGGCTATCTTTTTCCTGTTTCGCCTCCGCTGTGACGGTGGCGGTGGCTGCCTCTGGGGTTGCCAATGCAGGTGGCGGTGTCACGGCGGCCATCGCTTTGAAAACTGCGGGTTCTGTGTTTTCATCTGCAACTAAGAACGAAATCAGTTCAGAACCATTTTGGAACTACTACGTACTACGATCAATCATTGAAGATCAAGTTCATTGTTTAATTCATGTTGTCCTACTCTCTATGTAATGTGGCAAATCTCAGCCTGTAAAGACATTGTAGTACCACAAGACCTGAGAGGACGCTCACCTGTTCTCGTCATCATGGTGACGGGCTTTGTAACTTCTCCGTTGGTCTGGGAAGGACCTTCTCCCTCTGTAGTGGAGGACTAGTGGCAGAAAACGAGGAGCACCGTCAAAACTAGCTTATAACAATTATAAACACAAATATGTGGTACAGTGTTTTCTAATGCTATCCTATTGCCTTGATCAAAACCAGTCGAGTTGAGAGTTGGAGACAAGACACAACAATCAAAAAGTAAACTAACTGAATGGAACCGTTTTGGAACAGTTGGCTTCCATTCCAGACTTCCTGGTCTCCTCTATGACATCATCTCTGTGGAATCTATAAGCCACAAGATTCCAAACTCACATTGTGAGCTCATCACTGGGAATGATCCCAATGAGGTGGAGAATTCAGGGGATGTATTGAGTGATGTGAAACACTTAGCGTTGAATGTATAGAACGAGAATGTATAGAGCTGACACTGATCCATCTGAGATCCATAGCTGTTCTACATGATAAACTATGAAAAAAAGCAGAAATGTATTTGATGTCCTCATATGATAAATACCAATCACAAAGTTTCAGGATGTGAACAGCAATAGAGTTTTAATCATTGGACAACAATGTTTCTGAATGTTCTGTAATGTCATATTGTCCTGAACAGGCCCCAGTGGGTTGTGATGCGTACCTGTGATGGGGGGGTGGAGGTGGCCCTTCCCCCGGACATGATCTCCTCTGTGATATCACGGCCCCCCTGGTTGGGGTCTCGTATTCTGATCTGAGGAGGGGAGAGAAAGGGGGGAGTAGGATGAAGTTGAACAGTCAAAGACTACTTGAAATTAGCATATTAACCATAACTCGCCAGGCGTCACCATAAATAAGAATTTATTCTTAAATCAACTAGCCTGGGCAGTATTCACTAGACACCAACGGAAGAAAATGAACCAAAACTGGGTGGGACTAGCTATGATGAATACAACCCTGGTTAAATAGGCCTAAATAAATGCAAGTCCCCTTTTCTCTTCTCCTGTCATCCCTCCTACAGTCTCAATTAATCTATACTTCTTTCCCGCTGTCCAATCTCCTCCATCTGTAGCACACGGTTGGAATTGCCTTCTTGGATTACCATCCCCCAATTCTATCTTTAACCATAAAGAGGGGGGTGAGAAGATATCCGTGTCTGACCCCGTTTTAGCAGTAAGGGGCTAGATATACTCGACCTACTCCTACACTGCATTGACCTCAGCAGCGAGGTCATAGTATACCAGCTGCGCTTTGACCTTTATAGGGCTTTTCCACTCCTAATATACACCCTTGTATTATATTAGGGAAATAGTATTTTCAACAGTGTAGGCTGACACTAAGGACTTGTGAAAAGCAGCATCAACAACTTCTGAATCCCCTGAACAATTGCTTTTTATGAGGACAGGCCCAATTGTTATGTTAACAGTTAACCTTTATCATGTTTATGCACCCAGAAAAGTCCCAGTCTGACCCCATGTCAGGGTCTTTGTTTGGGGCTAAGCCTCATAGGTGGAAACTCAAAAGTCTGCATCTTCAAGCCAAACACCGGGGGTATAGTCTCATAGTGGAAATGCAACAGTGTGTGGTACAGTACCGCTACACGCTCCCTCTTGGGTGCCGGTGGTTGGGTCGGCGGCGGCGGCGGCTGAGGGGGCAGGGCCTGCTGCTGGGGCTGGGCGGGGCTTATCATGACGGGCGCAGTCTGGACCGCGGGTGAGTGGCTGTACTGGGGCTGAGCCGGGTAGTAGGCACCTGCTGTAGGGGGAGGGAAGACAAGTCAAACACAGCATGGAAAGCTACACACAATCACACACTAAAATAACCACAAACATACCATATAGACTAAACAAGCATTGAATTAACCACACTAAAATATGAACATGTTAAAATAACCACATCAGGGCCTAAAATGTTGGCATTGGCGGGTAAGATGTCTATTTCACCAGCCACGTTGGCAGGTGGTAAGGGCTCTACAGTGCAAGCATTTCACCCGCATTTGCAAATATAAATAGCGTTAGAAGTAAAGAATGAGCACATTTATAGCAAAATAAATAGCTGGTAGCTAATCACACAAAGAACTACTTGAATCCTATAATATGCCACCTCACACGCAGCAACCCTGCCTGGTGGGGGCGCTGTGCGCACTGATTAAAGTGCTGAAGTAAGATTGATTTTATAAGCGCTGAGCACAGGCATAAATGTTGGTTTAATTTACTCGAAAGTCTACTAAAGTGAGCCTATTACATTGTTTTGTTCACAAGCTAGGTTATTATTCAATGTGTCTGCTTCAACTGCTAGTGAAGACACATCGGCTACTAGTCAGATTCTCTATCTCACAGGTACACCGTCACCTGGAGCAGCTCGAGTGCCCTCATTGCCACGGTAACCTCCTGACCAGCTGAACATTTTGTCTCACCTGTGATACAGTATTTCGGTAAAAATAATAGGTCACAAATAATGAAATAACATTGAGCAATTTACCTCATCACTTCTTACTAATAATACATGTATTGTTTTAGAAACATTACAAAGCTGGCTCATCTGTGTTTCATAAAGTTTGTTTCAAGTCCTGAACCACATGCATCCGCAGCAAAGTAAAACTACCTATACACAAGGAAAAAAAACAGCTAAACCAAACAAAAACACCTACATACAAAACTACAAATCAAACACATTATGCAGACAAAGATGCAGCCCCGCACACACACACACACTTACTCACCGGGGTAGCGCTGGGAGGTGAGAGGAGCGCCGTGGAGAGAGAGACGCCCGTTCTCTCGCCCGCCCCCTCTCCCCCCACCCCCCCGCCTTTCCCTCGCAGCCAGAGAGGGCTCTGAACACAACACGACGGGGAGGGGGGGGGGAAGCGAGGGAAGGGAAGAGAGAAAAAGAAGAGGGAGATAGGGAGGACAGGAAGAGACAGATGCAGAGTGAGTGAATGAGAAGGGAACCAGAGGTAAGCAGGGTGGTAAGGCAGTAAGAGGCAGCAGGTGAGAAGACAGAACACAGACTGATTGAGCAGAACCAAAGCCAGAACACATACATACATACATACATACATACATACATACAGCCCTGGATCCTCAGATAAACAAAAGACCACCATACACACCCAACCTGCCAGGCAAAACCACCACACACAGCCAGCAATTCCACACGGTAAATAACCTAAGGTCAACTGACTGACCAACTAAGGTCAACTGACTGACCAACTAAGGTCAACTGACTGACCAACTAAGGTCAACTGACTGACCAACTAAGGTCAACTGACTGACCAACTAAGGTCAACTGACTGACCAACTAAGGTCAACTGACGTTTGCGGGTGGTCAGGGCTCCACAGTGAGAGCATTTCACTCATATTTGTGAACAAAAATAGTAAAGTATGATCACATTTATAGTAAAATAAATGCTGCAGTAGCTGTTTTTACTTCCGCCGTTTTGTTTCACAGCTGGTAAATTAAAATCGCACAAAGTCAAAGAACTACGAATCCTACATAGCCTATTCCATCTTGCGCTGCAACACAGCCTGGCTGGGGGCTGTGGGCACGTGAAGAGCTGAGTGAAAGACTCATTTTTAGAAGCCTGCGCACAGGCATAAAAGTTGGTCTAATTTACTTGAAACGAAAGTCTACTGAAGTGAGACTTTGTCCTTGTGTTTCTTCGCTATTTACATTGCTGTTTATCTATATTTTATCTATAGTTTTTTACCCCTTTTTCTCCCCAATTTCTTGTCCCATCGCTGCAACTCTTGTACGGACTCGGGAGAGGCGAAGGTCGAGAGCCATGCGTCCTCCAAAACACAACCCTGCTAAGCCGCACTGCTTTTTGACACACTGCTCGCTTAACCCGGAAACCAGCCGCACCAATGCGTCAGAGGACACACCGTAAAACTGCCGACCAAAGTCAGTGTGCATGCGCCCGGCCCGCCACAAGGAGTCACTAGAGCGCGATGGGACAAGGACATCCCGGTCGGACAAACCCTCCCCTAACACAGACGACGCTGGGCCAATTGTGCGACGCCTCATGGGTCTCCCGGTCGCGACAGAGCCTGGGATCGAACCCAGGTCTGTAGTGACGCCTCAAGCACTGCGATGCAGTGCCTTAGACCGATGCGCCACTCGGGAGGCCCCTGTTTTTCTATCTTTGAGTTTCAACTGCTAGGGAAGAGAAGACAACGCTTCTACTAGTCAGACTAAAATCTCACAGGCACAAACATGACTTGAGTCACACTACCCCGGTAACCTCCCACCCTTAAAAAAGGGGCAGGTGAACATTTGTCTCATCTGTGTGAGAGATATATATATATACACACACATACACACACACACACATACAGCTCTGGAAAAAAGTAAGAGACCACTGCAAAATTATCAGTTTCTCTGGTGTTACTATTTATAGGTATGTGTTTGGGTAAAAATAACATTTTTGTTTTATTCTATAAACTACTGACAACATTTCTCCCAAATTCCAAATATAAATATTGTCATTTAGAGCATTTATTTGCAGAAAATGACAACTGGTCAAAATAACAAAAGACGCAGTGTTGTCAGACCTCAAATAATGCAAATAAAATAAATTCATGTTCATTTTTAAACAACACAATACTAATGTTTTAACTAAGGAAGAGTTCAGAAATCAATATTTGGTGGAATAACCCTGATTTTCAATCACAGCTTTCATGCGTCTTGGCATGCTCTCCACCAGTCTTTCACATTGATGTTGGGTGACTTTATGCCACTCCTGGCTTAAAAATTCAAGCAGCTCAGCTTTGTTTGATGGCTTGTGCCCATCCATCTTCCTCTTGATCACGTTCCAGAAGTTTTCAATGGGGTTCAGGTCTGGAGATTGGGCTGGCCATGACAGGGTCTTGATCTGGTGGTCCTCCATCCACACCTTGATTGACCTGGCTGTGTGGCATGGCGCATTGTCCTGCTGGAAAAACCAATCCTCAGAGTTGGGGAACAATGTCAGAGCAAAAGGAAGCAAGTTTTCTTCCAGGACAACCTTGTACATGGCTTGATTCATGCGTCCTTCACAAAGACAAATCTGCCCGATTCCAGCCTTGCTGAAGCACCCCCAGATCATCACCGATCCTCCACCAAATTTCACAGTGGGTGTGAGACACTGTGGCTTGTGGGCCTCTCCAGGTCTCCGTCTAACCATTAGACAACCAGGTGTTGGGCAAAGCTGAAAATTGGACTCATCAGAGAAGATGACCTTACTCCAGTCCTCTACGGTCCAATCCTTATGGTCTTTTGCAAACCTCAGCCTGGCTCTTCTTTGCTTCTCATTGATGAAGGGCTTTTTTCTAGCATTGCACGACTTCAGCCCTGCCCCTCGGAGCCTGTTTCGAACCGTTCTCACTGTGCACTTCACCCCAGCTGCCGTCTGCCATTATTTTTGTAGGTCACTTGATGTCATCCTACGGTTGTTGAGTGACATTCAAATGAGTTGGCGGTCATCCCGGTCAGTAGAGAATCGTTTTCACCCTCTGCCGGTCTGTAGCTTTGTTGTCCCGAATGTCTGCTGCTTGACCTTGTTCTTATGAACCGCCGTCTTTGAAATTTTGGATGGATGGAAGCAACCTGACCCTCACTGTATCTCTCTGCCAGTAAAGCCAAAATTGAACCCTTCTTTTCCTCACTCAAAACGTTCCTTTTCAACTCTTTTGGCATGGTCAATAGTTATTTTTTGATTAATATTACTTTTGGAGGTACTATTAGCACTGTTTTTGCCATCCAGCTGGTCCTATTGCAAGAGGATAGTGATGACCACAGCAGTGGTTTTTATACTTTTCCTCGTTAAATAAGATTTGGTTCAGGTGATCACCTAATCAGTACCTAATTCAGTAGAATGAGGTGTGCCTGTGTTGGAATTCAACAGACACTGGAATGGAATGGCTGTCATACATGTAGAGATGCTGATTTAAGAAAGATTTGCAGTGGTCTCTTAATTTTTTCCACAGCTGTATGTGTATATATACAGTGGGGAGAACAAGTATTTGATACACTGCCGATTTTGCAGGTTTTCCTACTTACAAAGCATGTAGAGGTCTGTAATTTTTATCATAGGTACACTTCAACTGTGAGAGACGGAATCAAATCCAGAAAATCACATTGTATGATTTTTAAGTAAATCATTTGCATTTTATTGCATGACATAAGTATTTGATCACCTACCAACCAGTAAGAATTCCAGCTCTCACAGACCTGTTAGTTTTTCTTTAAGAAGCCCTCCTGTTCTCCACTCATTACCTGTATTAACTGCACCTGTTTGAACTCGTTACCTGTATAAAATACACCTGTCCACACACTCAATCAAACAGACTCCAACCTCTCCACAATGGCCAAGACCAGAGAGATGTGTAAGGACATCAGGGATAAAATTGTAGACCTGCACAAGGCTGGGATGGGCTACAGGACAATAGGCAAGCAGCTTGGTGAGAAGGCAACAACTGTTGGCGCAATTATTAGAAAATTGAAGAAGTTCAAGATGATGGTCAATCCCACTTGGTCTGGGGCTCCATGCAAGATCTCACCTCGTGGGGCATCAATGATCATGAGGAAGGTGAGGGATCAGCCCAGAACTACACGGCAGGCCCTGGTCAATGACCTGAAGAGAGCTGGGACCACAGTCTCAAAGAAAACCATTAGTAACACACTATGCCGTCATGGATTAAAATCCTGCAGCGCACGCAAGGTCCCCCTGCTCAAGCCAGCGCATGTCCAGGCCCGTCTGAAGTTTGCCAATGACCATCTGGATGATCCAGAGGAGGAATGGGAGAAGGTCATGTGGTCTGATGAGACAAAAATAGCCAGTCTCCAGACCTGAACCCAATAGAAAATCTTTGGAGGGAGCTGAAAGTCCGTATTGCCCAGCGACAGCCCCGAAACCTGAAGGATCTGGAGAAGGTCTGTATGGAGGAGTGGGCCAAAATTCCTGCTGCAGTGTGTGCAAACCTGGTCAAGACCTACAGGAAACGTATGATCTCTGTAATTGCAAACAAAGGTTTCTGTACCAAATATAAAGTTCTGCTTTTCTGATGTATCAAATACTTATGTCATGCAATAAAATGCAAATTAATTACTTAAAAATCATACAATGTGATTTTCTGGATTTTTGTTTTAGATTCCTTCTCTCACAGTTGAAGTGTACCTATGATAAAAATTACAGACCTCTACATGCTTTGTAAGTAGGAAAACCTGCAAAATCGGCAGTGTATCAAATACTTGTTCTCCCCACTGTGTGTGTGTGTGTGTGTGTGTGTGTGTGTGTGTGTGTGTGTGTGTGTGTGTGTGTGTGTGTGTGTGTATGTATATATATATATATATATATATATATATATATATATATATATATATATATATACATACATATGTATATATATATATATACATACATACATACATACATACATACACAGTGGGGGGAAAAAGTATTTAGTCAGCCACCAATTGTGCAAGTTCTCCCACTTAAAGATGAGAGAGGCCTGTAATTTTCATCATAGGTACACGTCAACTATGACAGACAAATTGAGATCTTTTTTCCAGAAAATCACATTGTAGGATTTTTAATGAATTTATTTGCAAATTATGGTGGAAAATAAGTATTTGGTCACCTACAAACAAGCAAGATTTCTGGCTCTCACAGACATGTAACTTCTTCTTTAAGAGGCTCCTCTGTCCTCCACTCGTTACCTGTATTAATGGCACCTGTTTGAACTTGTTATCAGTATAAAAGACACCTGTCCACAACCTCAAACAGTCACACTCCAAACTCCACTATGGCCAAGACCAAAGAGCTGTCAAAGGACACCAGAAACAAAAGTGTAGACCTGCACCAGGCTGGGAAGACTGAATCTGCAATAGGTAAGCAGCTTGGTTTGAAGAAATCAACTGTGGGAGCAATTATTAGGAAATGGAAGACATACAAGACCACTGATAATCTCCCTCGATCTGGGGCTCCACGCAAGATCTCACCCCGTGGGGTCAAAATGATCACAAGAACGGTGAGCATAAATCCCAGAACCACACAGGGGGACCTAGTGAATGACCTGCAGAGAGCTGGGACCAAAGTAACAAAGCCTACCATCAGTAACACACTACGCCGCCAGGGACTCAAATCCTGCAGTGCCAGACGTGTCCCCCTGCTTAAGCCAGTACATGTCCAGGCCCGTCTGAAGTTTGCTAGAGTGCATTTGGATGATCCAGAAGAGCATTGGGAGAATGTCATATGGTCAGATGAAACCAAAATATAACTTTTTGGTAAAAACGCAACTCGTCGTGTTTGGAGGACAAATAATGCTGAGTTGCATCCAAAGAACACCATACCTACTGTGAAGCATGGGGGTGGAAACATCATGCTTTGGGGCTGTTTTTCTGCAAAGGGACCAGGACGACTGATCCGTGTAAAGGAAAGAATGAATGGGCCCATGTATCGTGAGATTGAGTGAAAACCTCCTTCCATCAGCAAGGGCATTGAAGATGAAACGTGGCTGGGTCTTTCAGCATGGCAATGATCCCAAACACACCGCCCGGGCAACGAAGGAGTGGCTTCGTAAGAAGCATTTCAAGGTCCTGGAGTGGCCTAGCCAGTCTCCAGATCTCAACCCCATAGAAAATCTTTGGAGGGAGTTGAAAGTCTGTGTTGCCCAGCGACAGCCCCAAAACATCACTGCTCTAGAGGAGATCTGCATGGAGGAATGGGCCAAAATACCAGCAACAGTGTGTGAAAACCTTGTGAAGACTTACAGAAAACGTTTGACCTGTGTCATTGCCAACAAAGGGTATATAACAAATTATTGAGAAACTTTTGTTATTGACCAAATACTTATTTTCCACCATAATTTGCAAATAAATTCATTACATATCCTACAATGTGATCTCATTTGGTCTGTCATAGTTGACGTGTACCTATGATGAAAATTACAGGCCTCTCTCATCTTTTTAAGTGGGAGAACTTGAACAATTGGTGGCTGACAATGCTTTTTTCCCCCACTGTATATGTGTATGAGGACACACCTACAAATTAGTGGATTCGGCTATTTCTGCCACACGCGTTGCTGACAGGCGTATAAAATCGAGCGCACCACCATGCAATCTCCATAGACAAACATTGGCAGTAGAATGGCCTTACTGAAGTGCTCAGTGACTTTCAACGTGGCACCGTCATAAGATGCCACCTTTCCAACAAGTCAGTTTGTCAAAGTTCTGCCCTAGTCAACTGTAAGTGCTGTTATTGTGAAGTGGAAACGTCTAGGAGCAGCAACGGCTCAGTTGCGAAGTGGTAGGCCACACAAGCTCACAGAACGGGACCGCCGAGCGTTGGCTGGAGTGATGTAAAGCTTGCCGCCATTGGACTCTGGAGCAGTTGAAACGTGTTCTCTGGAGTGATGAATCATGCTTCACCATCTGGAAGTCAAACGGATGAATCTGGGTTTGGCAGATGCCAGGAGAACACTACCAGGCCCAATGTATAGTGGCAACTGTAAAGTTTGGTGGAGGAGGAATAATGGCCTGGGGCTCTTTTTCCATATTTCGGGCTAGGCCCCTTAGTCTTAAATCTTAAGACTACAGCATACAATGACATTCTAGATGATTCTGTGCTTCCAACTTTGTGGCAACAGTTTGGGGAAGGACCTTTCCTGTTTCAGCAATACAATGGCCCCCGTGCACAACGCAAGGTCCATACAGAAATGGTTTGTCGATATTGGTGTGGAAGAACTTGACTGGCCTGCACAGAGCCCTGACCTCAACCCCATCTAACACCTTTGGGATGAATTGGAATGCCGACTGCGCGCCATGCTTAAACACCCCAACATCAGTGCCCAACCTCACTAATGCTCGTGGCTGAATGGAAGCAAGTCCCCGCAGCAATGTTCTAACATCTAGTGTAAAGCCTTCCCAGAAGACTGGAGGCTGTTATAGCAGCAAAGGCGGGACCAACTCCACATTAATGCCCATGATTTTGGAATGAGATGTTCGACAAGCAGGTCTCCACATACTTTTAGTTATGAAGTGTATTTATGTTAGACTCAGGTCAAAAATTTTTTTTTTTATTAAATATACCACTTTAGTTACTTCTTACTAGTAATACATTATTGTTTTAGAAACATTACAACGCTTGCTCATCCATTTTCCGTGCGTTTTGTTGGTGTAATATTTTTGCTGTTAAAAATATTGGTTAGAGTTCTAGCTGCTGATCTAGTCGTGCCTGTGGTTCCAATCAAGATTGTGGTTGTGGTCATGGTTGTACTTGGCTGGTGGGGCACAGCCCAGAGCGGAGCCTCTTACCATAGGTGGGGTATTCAGCCGGGCTGGTTCCTGGGTAGAAGCCTGCCGTGCCGCTGGTCACGGGGTATTGTGGACTGGGTGGCATATAGGGAGCCCGGTACTACAGACAGAGAGGGGGAAAAAAAAAGTTGTTTGCTGTGTTAAGGTATAGCTATAACAGTATGCAACATTACCTCTATGGTGATTTTAGACTTTTTGGCGCTGGAATACCGTATGAGAGGTGTTGAACAATTAGGGTTGCAAAATTCCCAAAACATTCCCGAAATTGCTAGGTTTTTCAGAAATTCCGGAAACCTGTGAAATTCCAGAATCTTGCAACCCTATTTCAAGTAAAGTTGACTATTAACATAAAGTCATCATGACCGGTTGTGGTACCTGTCCAGGGGGGATGAAGTAGCCCTGAGGGGAGCCAGCAAAGGACAACTGCTGCCCAGGGATCATCATCATCTGGGAGCTGGGCTGGTAGACGTGTGTGGGACCCACCGGACGAGGCCCGCTGCTGGTCTGGACCCGGGGGGCACTGGTGGGCATGGCGGGCCTGTTAGCATAGTAGGGCTAGAGAGATGGAGGGGAGAGAGAAAATCTGTAATATTAATATATATATATTTTTAAAAAACAGTATATTTGAGTGTGTGTATTATCTAAATGGTGAGCTGTGTGTTACTGCGGTGTTAAAATGTCACATGTTGAAACTGTCAGATGGTTGAGGTAGGTCAAGACTCCAGAGAGCTGACCACACGATGACTGTCGGGGTTTCCGTTACCTGCAGTGCCCTGTATCCACCCTTCAGCCGCACAACACACGAGCAGAGAGCAAGAGAGGCGGGAGAGAGGACGACAGGAGAAAAGGAGAAAGAGAGCAGAAGGAATGAGAGAGAATGAGAAGCAGCAGTATATCATTCAGCCACTAACAGTTAGCTGCTGACTATCAGAAAATATGAAGCCATCAAAGAGATATAAAGCAACAGACTTAAATTCACAAAGAACTACCATACATTTCTTCTAGTTTCATTCAAGCCTCTTGATTGTAGGCCTAGCTGATGGGTTGGCTGGCACTTTGCCTGATTAGGGAAACTAATTTACACAAACAGGAGGACCCTGGTGCCTAGGAACTTTACTGTATAGTCCTACAGTGGGTGGAATCATATCAGGTGTTACCAAGGGTAGCCTATGGAATTACCAGCCTGAACGTCTTCACTATGGGAATCCTTGGTCCTGGAGAGCCACAAAAGGGCTGAGGATTCTAGTCCAGCACTCTACTCATGGTCTGAATTGATATGTTTTGAAATATTTCATTAAAATCAGGTGGTTTTGCTTCTAGTTACAGCTGGGTCTGGTCAGAACTTGAATGGCTGTTTAGCCTCATCCTTCTCTAAAGTTAAATTGCATTCATGCACAGCGGTCTACTTTCATGTCGAGATGACAGACATTTTGGGGAAGGTGAGGGGAGTTAGTACCTGTTGGTGTAAAGCACGAGACCCTGCAGCGAACTGGGAGGGAGGACAGCAAAAGAGAGCAAGAGATCAAGGTTGGTAGCCAGAGAGAAGGGAGAGAGACTTAAACACAGACACAGGTTGGACCAAAGCGTTACAGTTGAGCTAGAGTTAGAGTTAACAGCATAACAGATGCTTTGACATTTAGAGAGTGTGAACAAAAGAGCGGGAAATAGAACAAGAGAGATGGAGAGGGAAAAGAAGAAGGAGAGAGCAATACCTGTCGCGGTTGCGGTGCAGAGTTCATTTGTTGAGGTGGTGGGGAAGCGAAGACGAGAGAAGGGGGCTGTCCTGGGGCATAGGCAGCCTGGGAGAGAGGGGAGGGAGAGAAACAAAACTACGTTAGTCGGCTAACTTCCTGCCAAAGATGGGTTGTGTTCAATAGGGTACAATGTAGCAAAACGTTTCAAAATGGAAAAAAATTTGTGCATTCTTATTGGACACTACCCTGACCCATCAACGCACGCTGGGTCTTGTCATTGACTCTCACCTGTGTCAGTCCAGGGGAGGGGGAAGGATGTGGGACAGAGGTGGGTCCCGTTATAGGCTGCGGTGGTTTGTTCATTTCACTTGGTTCTGCATTAGGGTGGCGCTGACTTGCCAGCCGATCTGAGGAGAAGGAGGAAGAGTTCGCAAAAGAGCTAAAAATTCAAATCCAACAAAAAACCCTCGAAGACTACAATCTCCATTTTGATACTGGGTAAGCCGGACTAGGCTAGGGTGAGTAGACTAGATATACAATAATAACCTGGACACCATGCCCAGTGACCTTTAGAGCAGAAAGGTCAGAGAGCAGCCTCAAGTTAACCCCCTAAGAAGTTAACTTGAGGCTGCCCTCACAAAAGCTCCAGTACTTAATATGACAGTCATGAGAAAGCCTGAGTGTTTGTCTGTTTGTAGTAGGTTGTGACGTAAGGCCTAGTGCCAAACAACCCGACACTGGTCAAAAGTTGCTGTTACAAAGTAGGAAACGTTACAGTAGGTAGGCTAGACCTTGGGTTAGAACACCATTTCATGGGCTTCCACTAACAGGGTTGTCAGAAGTTTTGACAGTGTTGTTGTTGAGCCGAGTTCCAACATTGGAAATGGGTTAGTGGGTTTGTCTGCGCTAAAGAAAGGTTGTCCCGCCAAGCAGCAAGGGTGGGGTTTACTGACCCTGCCCTGATAACAGGAATGCCTCCTCCCTGTATCCTTAAGCCAATACACACTTATTTTCACCTCCCTGTATCCCTCCTTCACTTTCCACTTGCAGCCTTCTAGGTTTAGCCTATAAAAAACATGTCACACCATGACTATCATCAACACATATTGATGGGGGAGATGAATTTGACATGACACATGGATGCAGATTAGAAATGGCGAAAAATCAGTTCCTGGGGTCATGGGGTTTATATGAGCTTCTCGGCATCCGTTTCATGAGTGATTGGGGATTAGGCTCACGCTGGCCTCACGCTCAATTGAACTAACTGGTTATTTAGGATCAGAGAATGTCTTGTTTCAGATCAAAGTTCACTTGCCAGTAGCCTCCATTTGATTGTAACAGATTGTCCCCGTTTTGTAGACATGTGCTGGTTAGTGGTTACAATGTTTGAGATTCCTTAGAGATTCTCTAACACTCTCAATAACATGTATATTTTTACTGTGAAACAATATATTCCACATTTGAGGGGTGTGGGTTGTAGACAAGCATGGGACTACTGCGACATTTAAGAAGTTTCAGCAATTTCCCATGACATATTGCTAGTGTTGCCATTAATTCAAGCATGAAAATAAGTAGTGTCAAACTGTTATCACATGGTCTAAAGAGGCGATCTCACATTAGGAAGACGTGTCATATGGCTAGCTAGCTACTAGCTAGCAAGTAGCCGGTGTTAGCCATGTTATCCCATCTGTGGCTAGCCCACTCTTCGGTAAACACATTTTAGGCACTAAATATAAATAAAGATCATGAAATAACCGTATGATAACACGATCGGTTTGTGGTTTGATTCGGTATAGCTAACATTACTGGTGGATCAAATTGCAAGGAAGGCCTTCTAGCGCACTAATACCACCGGGGTCCAATGGTGGATGTCACACACACCACTAACTAACGCGCGTTAGCTAGTCTGTGCAGTAGCCTACGTGTCTCTCATAGTAATGTCGAGTGACTGAACTTGACTTATTCCGAAACCCATATGATACATTTTGCAGTGACATGTCGACACATCATTTGTGGATCGCAATATTAAAGATATTACTTTTTTGGTATCCAATTGAAATAGTTGATGCACTTTCATATGTTAATTGTCATGCTAGTCTTGCGAGGAGAATTCATTCATTGTAGGCCCAACCAAGCCGCACACATTGAAAAACCAGCATGACCATTGCCTTACCTAGATTTAGCTATGTTGACAGGTCGGATTAACCAACGTTACATATTTTAAAAGTGTGGTTTAAGAAACTGAAGAGTAAATTGCCAGACCGGCATTTTGAAGTAAAATACATGATAACGAAATGGTTTAGATAGGCAATTTGTTTCGATGGGAACTGTCAAGTTGAACGTTCAAAAAACAGGGAAGATTAGCTAGTTTGGAAGAGGTGGCATTAACGTTCCAGGCTAGCGTTAGCTCGCTAACTAATTTACCAATACGTTCACCAACTTCAAACACAGACATGAGCTGGCTAACTAACTTCAATAATGAAATGCCCGACATTAGTTTAAACTCAAAGGTTAGAAATCAAGCTCGTTTTGACGAGCACAGAAAAAGCCAATATTAATTTTAGTTAGCTAGCTAGCGGTTTAACATGTAGCTAGCGAACATTAGCTACTCTTCTAAGCTGGCTAGCTAGGTTAGCTAACCTTGTAAATGGACTGACAGAGCAGGGCCTTCATCCATTTGTCTTTCAAAGAACGAAAGCAGGTAGCGAACACTGGATTCTTACCGGTTATGAATAGTGTCTGAGGGATATGAGCGAAGACTGGAATCAGCAATGGAAAATATATATTAAACCCTATCGTCCGTTACTTAAAAATGGTAGTGTAGTTTATTGTCCTCTCCTCCAAATGGAAAGTGGTGCCCTTATTGGGGTGAGTGCTATTGCTGTCACTTGTTCTTTAAATCCCTGGAGCGTGCAAAAGTGACTAGGGCACAAAATGTATTAATATAGCACTTGAAGATTATTATTGACAACTCCAATGCCTCCGAAAGAATCCTCTGGACCGGAGGTCCATGATCAAGGCGCCGATGGTGACGGATTGCGGGTAAAATACACTCTACTGGGGTTTCGTTCGGTTTACAGCGAGGCCATGTTGCGATGCATTCTCGTCCGCTGGAGCCGGCCGGACCGTGCGCCTGATAAGTCGCATGGGTACTTCCGGGAAAATCATTATTTGATGCCGCATCCTCCGTCATGTGACAGTGGATACAATAATTTGCATTTTCCACTTTTGTACACAAATTTCATATGCATGTTGTATAAATTATTTTTAAGAGCTATTATTCCATTCTTTTGTATTCATTTGTCACTTACACCCCCATAGATTATAGTGAGTAAACAAGGAAATTACATCTTCTCAAGAGTAGACATATTTGTCTTTAATTGATCAAGGCCAATAACTTGGCATGTCTGTAGTAGGTCTACATATATAAGAAAAAGGTAATTTAGTCAATAAGTTATTCATTGATATAATACAGTACTTTTTCAATTAAGAGGTGACACAATGCAGAAGTAAAGAGCGATAAGAGTTAGTCCTTTGTAGCTCAGCTGGTAGAGCACGGTGCTTGTAAAGGTAGTGGGTTCGATCCCCGGGACCACCCATACACATTTTTTTTTTTTTATGCACGCATGACTGTAAGTCGCTTTGGATAAATGCGTCTGCTAAATGGCATATTATATATTATATTATATATTATATTATTAGTCAGTCAGTGGTGGTTGATGTATATCCTTCAATCTTTCTCAGGGGTCACACAAACCCCACAAGATTGTGGATTCATTCCCCTCCTCTTCAAACTTCAACTGTGAAGCTGACAGCCAAATGGATTTCCAACTGCAGTATTGATATAATAAGGGTAATTTGACTTGACTTTACACACTTAGCCTATGGAGAACAAAATAAGTGGCAATTTGCCTAGTTGCTGTGGGCCTGAAGATTCTAAAATCGCTTCCTCTCATACTGTGCTCCCTCTGTGCACTCTAATGGCTCAGTGAATTGGTGCATGGTGCTTTGAACACGTGAGAAACACCAGAAGCTGTATGTATCGAAGAGTCTCAGAGTAGGAGAACTGATCTAGGATCTGGTCGCCCCTGTCCATGTAATCTTATTAATTGTGAATTAATCTAAAAGGCATTCCTTCTCTGAGAGGCTTGATACATATGGCCCCAGAGCACACACAGTTCTTGAGACACCCATACAGGTTTGGTTCTTCAGTCGCAATCACTTTAATCATCTTCAGAGGAACTTGTACAACGTTCAGAGATTATGAGTCAGATTGGTATTATTTATTTAATTCAATGTATTTAACCTTTATTTTGATAGGGAAGACATATTGAGACCTACACTACCATTGAAAAGTTTGGGGTCACCTCGAAAATTTTTTGTCCATTAAAATAACATCAAATTGATCAAAAATACAGTGTAGACATTGTTAATGTTGTAAATGGCTATTGTAGCTGGAAACGGCTGATTTTTAATGGAATATCTACATTTACATTTACATTTAAGTCATTTAGCAGACGCTCTTATCCAGAGCGACTTACAAACTTAGGATACCCAGGGGGGGGGGGGGGGGGGGGGGGGGGGGTAGAAGGATTACTGTTATACTATTCCAGGTATTCCTTAAAGAGGTAGGTTTTCAAGTGTCTCCGGAAGGTGGTCAGTGACTCCGCTGTCCTGGCGTCGTGGGGGAGCTTGTTCCACTACCATTGGGGTGCCAGAGCAGCGAATAGCTTTGACTGGGCTGAGCGGGAACTGTGCTTCCGTAGAGGTAGGGGGGCTAGCAGGCCAGAGGTGGATGAACGTAGTGCCCTCGTTTGGGTGTAGGGTCTGATCAGAGCCTGAAGGTAAGGAGGTACCGTTCTCCTCACAGCTCCATAGGCAAGCACCATGGTTTTGTAGTAGATGCGAGCTTCAACTGGAAGCCAGTGGAGTGTGCGGAGGAGCGGGGTGACATGAGAGAACTTGGGAAGGTTGAACACCAGATGGGCTGCAGCGTTCTGGATAAGTTGTAGGGTTTTAATGGCACAGGCAGGGAGCCCAGCCAACAGCGAGTTGCAGTAATCCAGACGGGAGATGACAAGTGCCTGGATTAGGACCTGTGCCGCTTTCTTTGTACATAGGCGTACAGAGGCCCATTATCAGCAACCATCAGTCCTGTGTTCCAATGGCACGTTGTGTTTGCTAATCCAAATGTATCATTTTAAAAGGCTAATTGATAATTAGAAAACCCTTTTGCAATTATGTTAGCACAGCTGAAAACTGTTGTACTGATTAAAGAAGCAATAAAACTGGCCTTCTTGAGACTAGTTGAGTATCTGGAGCATCAACAATTGTGGGTTAGAATTACAGGCTCAGGCTGGCCATCTTAATCTTTTCTTTTTGTTGGCCAGTCTGAGATATGGCTTTT